ATATGTTTTTTAAAATATGTTTCCTTACATTCTCTACTATGAAAGTTATCATGATATAAACAGAGATAATGGATATTGCTTTTATATCTACAGTGTAAGATGGATACTTAACACTATCAAAATTATGGATCCTTTGCTTACAAGTACTTTTAATTAAGGTTTGCATCTATGTTACAGAAAATTTTACTAAATATGGTTATACAGTTTTAAAGAATCAATTTTGCTTTACACACTGTATAGAGACGTGGAACAAGATACTAAAAGAGAGACCTTCCATGCTCATAAATAGAAACAGTTTACATGAATTGGAGACAATTCCCAAAATAAATGCACAAATTCAGTGCATCTTCCACTAAAATTCCAATGCCTTTCTTAACAGAAATAGAAAAAAATAGCATTAAAATGTGTGTGGAAGTACAAAAGATCTCAGTAACCAAAGTAAGCATGAGGGAAAAGAAGGATTCTACATGTATAACCATTTCAAGTTCTTTTAGGGCCAGAATAACAAAAACAGTATAGTGCTTACTGTCACAAAAACAGTAGATTGATAGATTAGATTAAAGAACTACACAGCTGAATCACCTGATTTTTGACAAAGATACTGAAGATATTCCTTTGAGGAAAGATAGTATCTTTAATAAATTGTGCTAGAAAAATTGACTTTCTACATGTAGAAGAAACTCAACCCTTGTCTCTCACCCCACACAAAAATCAGCTCCAAATGTAACAAAAATCTTTATTAGACCTGAAATTATGAAACTATTAAATTCAGTAGTAGCAAAAGCACTTCAAGCTTTGGGCATAGGCAAGGGTGTTCTGAATAGGACTTCAGTTGCACGGGAAGAATATTGCCAACAGTTGATAAATGTGGCCTCGTGAAATTAAAAAGCTTCTGCACAGCTATTAAAGACTGACTATAGAATGGGAGTTTGAATACTTGTTCCACAGGTATTGAACCTCTTTGGGAAGAATTATGAAATGTGGTCTTGTTGGAAGAGGTGTATCTCTGGAGGACAGCTTTGCAGTTTTAAAAGATTTGTATCATTCCCAATGTCTTTTCTCTCTACTTCCAACTTGTAGATCAACATTAGCTTTCAGCTATTCTGCCACTATACCTTTGCTCCACTATCATGGACTAAAACTCCTGCAGCCATGAGCACCAAATTAAATGGTTTTGTTTTGTTTTGTTTTTGTTGTTGGTGGTGGTGTTTTTTTTTTTTTTACTTAAGTTGCCTTGGTCATAGTGTTTTATCACAGCAATAGAAAGTAGCTAAGACGATGTCTGACAGAGAATTAATAGCAATATTATAAAAGAACGCAGACAACTGAAATAAATGGAAGTTTTCACAATATGAAACAAACATCCTCTAAACACATGGGGGGAAATGGTCACCCTACTAGCTTTCAGGGAAATGAAAAAAGTAGTCTGAGATTCCATCTTCCCTCAGTAAGAACTGCGCTTGCTACAGGTACTTTAGAGGATGTGGGCAAAAGGTAGCCATGATGCACTGCTGGTGGAAATGTAAACTGGAGGACCCACTATGGAAATCAGTGAGGAGGTTCCCCAACGACCTGAAGCTGTACCTACTGTGTGAACCAACTGTCCCAGTCCTGGATGTCCACAGGAAGGGTGTGAAGTCAGCACACCCCAGAGACACTTGCACATCACTGCATAATCTTTTAACAACAGAAAAAGCAACACAGGCTTCCTACAGCAGAGGTTTTAATAAAACAGAATTTTTCTTTCATGAAGAAAATCACCATAAGAAAGAATGACATTTTGATTTTCTGTTTTGCAATTTCAAAAAAAAAAGTTGACAACACAATATTACATAATGTGTCACATCCATAGATATATCCATGATGTGTGATTTTAACATGATTTTAAGGAGGTTCCTTTTATAAACTATCACTCTGGGTAGTTTTGTTTTTCTACTCTAACGACCTCTCCAGTCCTTTGATATTCATATCAATCTCCACTGAACATCCACTGAATCTTAATCCTTGGTGATTTTCTCAGTGTTGCTGACAGTGTAATTCTGTGTCTTTACCAATATTGATTTTCAAGTAAAGTGCATTACATTATTTTTAGCCATAGATTGCAAAACTCTAAACAGATATCTAATGATTAGGTAAAACTTGACCAAAAAAGTTCTAACATGAAAGTTCAAAAGGCCCCTTAGTTCTGAGAAGGGATGTTAGAGTTGGGACCAATTAGTAATATGACAACCTCTTTGAATATTCAAATAATGGGAGACACCCTGTTTTTTTTCTGAACAACGACAGTGGTTTTCTATGTGGTATAATTTGAAGATGATCAAGTTTATTTTTAAAGCGTATATATACACACATATGAAATATGAAATTTTAAAACATGTATGGTTGTTTTGTCTGCATACCATGTACATACCTGCAGAGGCCAAAAGACAGCATTGGATCCGCTGGAACTAGAGTTAGGGACAATTGTTAGCTGCCATGTGAGTCCAGATCACCTTAAAGAGTAACCAGTATTTCTAACCATTGAGAAACTTTTCCATCCAGATGCTAATAGATGTTTGTGCGTGTGTGTGTGTGTGTATGTGGGTATGTATGTATGTATGCATGCATGTATGTATGTATGAGATTCAAACCTTAAAAACTCAAGTGATTTCTTCGAAGAAATTTGAAATAAATAATATTTGCTATCTTAGAAAGGCATTTTGCTAGAAAAAAAATGTTTTCTATGTGACAGACAGAAAAACTAAAGATCCTAATAGTGCCCTGATTTAATGTGACAGTATAATAGGTCTCTAAGGCCAAGTATATACCAGGGAAAAGTTCTTACTGACAGTGCTAGGAGAGCCAAAGTGGATATTAATAACTAAATACAAGGATGAATTTGTTGTAATCTGCAGATAATTTGTTAGTGATTTTTAGAGAATTGAAAGTCTTGTCAATATCTAGCAGTGGGAGTAGGGATATGATTGGGCTCTATGATATTAATCCCAACATTCAAAAAGCTGACACAGGAAATTCTTGAGTTCGAGACTAGCCTGAAAAAATTATTATGTAGGATGTACACATGCACGCGGGTACACACACAAACACACACACACACACATTTCAGATTCTTTGGAAAACCTACAACTATGCTTTGTTCTGAGCATTTCTCTTTCTCCTGACCTTCATGTTAAGCCTATATTGAAAAATTCTTAAACCCCAACAAGAATAATTAATAACTAATATCCTAACCTAAAGATAGATAGATAGATAGATAGACAGACAGACAGACAGACAGACGGATGATAGATGGATGCATGCATACATGGGCAGGTAAGTAGATGGATGAGGGAAGATAGTGATCTTTCCTTCTCTCCTTTTTTCCATGGAGTTTCTGGAAACTTCTATTTTATATTTCTGCTAGTTTCTGAAACTCTTTTTATTTAATATGTAGTTATTGAAGTTATGTAGTTATTGAAATATGTATAATAATAATATATTGCCTTGTAATTTGCCTATTCCAGTTAACCACTGCATATCATTTGGGTGGTTTCCACGTTTAGTTATTAATAATGTTTCATGTTTCCTTTGTTTGATGGCTTTTCTTTCTGTAGAATTTTTAAATTATATCAGAGGAGAATATTATTAA